TCAGCGCAGATGCAGGCTGTGCGGACTTGGACGGCTTTCCTCCAGCCCACTTCCTGGGCGCCCGCCATCTCAGCACTGTTTCCTGAAAACCCAGCTCTTGCCTGGATGACATGTCTTCCAGGCGAGTGACTCATCAGAGCAGCCAACAGCTTAGAAAGTCCCTCTGCCCCCAGCTGCTGGAGGGAGGAGCCCACGATGCAGATGAGCCAGTCACAGCTAATCACAGCCTCCTCCCCTCAGATCTGCCCTCTGGCACTCCAGCCCTGCTCCTCCAAGCAGCCTGACTGCACGACTGCTGTGGGAGGTGCTAATCCAGACACCTTCCCGATCCCTCCCACCCTCTGCTGTCGTGCAGTGCCAAACCTCTTGGGGTTGGCTGCTCCCAAAGCCCACCACCATGTTCTCTCTGTGTACATAGGACCCACTCTCCCACTTGTCTTCAGCTGGGAATCCCAAATTAGAGCTGCAAGTTTGTGTTGATTTTATCCTAGAAAATGCAGCCAGTTTTAATCAACAGATAAATGCTCATTAGAGAATACCATTGCTCTGCTGTTTAAAAGGTGGCCGTGCAGGCCGCGCACAGTGGCTCACACCTGTAATCCCAGCACTTTGGGAGGCCAAGGCGGGCAGGTCACTTGAGGTCAGGAGTTCGAGACCAGCCTGACCAATGTGAAACCTCGTCTCTACTAAAAATACAAAAATACAAAAATTAGCCAGGCATATAGTGCATGCCTGTAATCCCAGCTACTCAGGAGACTAAGGGAGGAGAATCTCTTGAACCTGGGAGGCGGAGTTTGCAGTGAGTCGAGATCACGCCACTGTACTCCAGCAGGAGCAACAAAGTGAGACTCAGTCTCAGAAAAAAAAAAAAAGATTGCTGTGCAATTTTAGATTTTAATGGGAGCTCTGAGCTCATCTAATCTGGTTCTTTCCTTTGGTTAATAAATAAACAAACCACCAAGGCCCAGAGAGGGCTCTGTCTTGCTCAGCAGGCTGCGCAGGGTGCCAGCTCCTCCCAGAACTTCCATCTTCCCTGCCTTGCTCTGAGTGGGGCTGTCAGTAGGGCCAGGCCCAGGCGCGGCTTGAGGTTCAGAGCAGCTTCACTGTGTGCTAATAGTCGAGCTCCAGCATTTGTCTTGCAGCAGTCTGTAGGTTCTTTACATCCTTTCTTCTCATTAGTACTTGAACAGAGCCATTTTCCTCCTCTCCTGTAGACAACTCTGCCTCAAGTCCACAGCCCTGAGCGGCCTGCGTGCAGCATCCCACGCCCTGAGCCACGGCTCCCCCCTCCAGGGCTCTGCTCATCCCCTCAGCCTCTTCTGAGCCTCTGTGTGTCCGTGAAACCAGACCATGTGGGGCTGCTTTTCTGATCTGTGAAATGTGGAGCTGGGTCAGTCCCCACCTCCCACCCCCGACTGGATCCAGGTGGGCTCTCAGCCTTCTAGGAGCCCAGTAGCCCACTGCAGTGACATGGGTCACACGTCCGAGCAGGATTGTCACCCGTGGCTCTGACACAGCTTCCCTGGGTGGTACTCTGTCCCGAGTGCGGAGTGATGTCGCCAGCGCAGGTCAGGCCTTCAACACCAAGCTAGGGCCTTGGAGAGCATGCGAATAGGCTTTACGGGAGGTGCTGACCAAGGCCACACCAGGTACCAGGCTGAGTCCCTTGGCCCATGGCCCAAACACCCTCTCTGTCCTCTGTTCGTCTCCTCTTCCCTAACTCGTACACACTTCTAACTTCTGAAGCAGAATCTTTTTATTTGATTAAATTCAAGGAATCTTCATAGAGTTTACTTGCAATAATTGACTTTGCTTCTGTCTTAACAAAGAGCAAAATCTCCCTCAATGCTGCAGAATGCCATTTGCATGCAGCCTGGGGATTTATTGAGCATATGGGAGCTATTTATTGCACGGGCTTTGAGGTGCTTTTGATTATCTCCTGATTGCTTCTTAACTGTATTGGCAGGGGAAGAGCACGTTTGTGCAGAGGGCAGTCTTGGGAAAGTGAAGTATATTCCATATCCTCAAAAGTGTAAAAGTGTTCTTTTGTCCCTTTGCTCATCTTAAATTTTTACTCTTTTTCTGGATTTTAACATTTTTCATTCTCGTTTTGGTCCTTTACTAAGACATCGAGAAAATATGCCCTTTGACACGGCAGCACAGAGGGTCATTAGCCAAAAAACTAACACAGGGTCCTCAAGTCTCTTAGGAAATTACTCAGGAGAAGAGATGGCAGAGCTAGAAGCAGGAACCATTATACTGATCATCACGTGGTTTCCTCAAGGAACATATTTCTACAAGAAAGGCAGAGTAGGGCTGAAGGAATTGGTGTCCTTCCTCCATCCCTACCATGAGGGTTAAGCGTCCCTAATTTGGAAAACCAAAACATTCCAAAACCCAAAACTCTGGGGGCCACCATGCTGCAGCAAGTGGACAATTCCCCTCCTGACCTTGTGTGCACAAACTTTGTTTCATCCACAGAATTATTATGTGGAATTTGCTTCAGGCCATGTGTGTAAGAGGTATATGAAATATTATTGTGTGGAATAAGCAAATATTATTGTGTAGAATTTGCTTCAGGCAGTGTGTATAAGAGATATATGGAACATAAATGGAGCTTGTTCTTAGTCTTGGGTCCTGTCCCCATTATATCTCATTATGTATGTGCAAATATTCCAAAAGTTAAAAAAATCAGAAATCTAAAACACTTTCTGTCCCAGGCATTTTGAAAAAGAGATACTTAGCCTATATCGTGGAAATTAAGACTTGCTCTGTGACCGTACAAAGAGTGAAGTGGCAATTCACTTCCAGTTTAGGGTTCGTGTTGGCTGTTATGGCCGTGGGGATGGGGGGGACAGCAGCTGCCACTGACCGACACCTGCTTTGTGTCAGCCACTCTACAAGGACCCCATGAAACGGATGGTGAAACGGATCCTAGAGGGACACAGCCACGCACCAAGCCACCAGAGCCACATGCTGAATTTCACCAAGTGGCCTCCCACGGGCCCCCTGGCCAGGCCCTGGTCCTCTGGACAAGGCGGCGAGGCAGGCAGGTCAGCCGCTCCCTGGGCCGGAGCTGGTGGGCAACGGAGCTGGGAGCAGAGCCCAGTGTCATGGCTCGCAGTCAGACCTTCTTTTCTCCCCTCTCCTCAAATCTCATCCTGGGCTGCTCATGCACAGAGCATGCGTTCCTGCACGTCTGCATTCTCATTCCACCAATGCGTGTTGAAAGCCATTCCGCCAATGCGTGTTGAAAGCCGTTCTGTCAGTGCGTGTTGGACCATTCCGTGAATGCGTGTTGAAAGCCGTTCCACAAATGCATGTTGAAAGCCGTTCCTCCAGTGCGTATTGAAATCCATTCCACAAATGCGTGTTGAAAGCCGTTCCGCCTGTGCGTGTTGAACCATTCTGTGAATGCGTGTTGAAAGCCGTTCCACAAATGCGTGTTGAAAGCTGTTCCTCCAGTGTGAGTTGAAAGCCGTTCCTCCAGCGGGTGTTGAAAGTCCTTCCGCCAGTGCGTGTTGAAAGCCATTCCACGAATGTGTGTTGAAAGCTGTTCCTCCAGTGTGTTGAAAGTCCTTCCGCAAATGCGTGTTGAAAGCCGTTCCACGAATGCGTGTTGAAAGCCGTTCCTCCAGTGAGTGTTGAAAGTCCTTCCGCCAGTGCGTGTTGAAAGCCTGCCACATGCCTGGCACTGGGAATGAAGTACCACTGGATGCCAGGGCACCTGTGGGATGTCTGTAAGACAGGGCTGGAGATGTTGGCGATGGGTGTGCCAGGCCTGGGGTACCACAGGAAGGCAGAGGAGTGCCGTGTCACAGCCTCTGAGAAAGCTCACAGGGCAGCTGGCCTGAAGAGAGGTGCCAGCAGAGGGGCCCATTGGTAGGAGGCTGTTCTAACAGCCCCCATGGGCAACACCAAGGCTCCAGCAGGGCCACGTTAGGAAGGTGGTGATGGTGGCTGGGGGTGCCCGGTAAGACTGTTGCCTACACCTGGGAATTCCAGGACCTGGCCCAGAGGTGTTAGGTCCAATTCAGACTGTCTGCTGGTCCAATAATAGAATCAGGGTGTGGAAGCCACCTAAATCATCCCCACTGGGGGTACCTGAGTAAAAAACCAAACCCAAAAGGCCATCTTGACTCAGGAATAAGACACAGGCACCTGCCGGGCGCGGGGGACTCAGGCCGTGTTTTCTGGAATGGAGCCTGCCAGGTGCGGCCAGGTGCCCTGTGGAGGAGTGGCTCCCGTTTTCTGTGTGTCGAGCCCGGTCTCGATTCTGTGGGAAACTGGTGACTGTGGCCGAGTCCACTTCTCAGAGAGACTGTTGCCTCTCACCCCAAATAGGCCCTGCTGATCTTGTCCTCGAGGGTAGAATCACGTCTCCAAGTAGTCTGTGGGGTCACCAGCACACCCCTGGCCTTCAGGGGCCCAGGTCCAGACCACTCAGGTGTGGGGGTCCCGAGGCTAACAGCAGCATCACAGCGCAGGGCTCAGCCCTGACTGCCAGGACGCCCTTCCCCGGCCTCACACTGACCCCTCCTGAGGAGGCACTCTGGCCTGGCCCTGGTGTCACTCCCACCTTCCTCCAGGACGCTGCCCCCTCAGAGCCTCCGTGGGGACCACAGCTGCACCGAACACATGGGCTGCCGCTAGATGGGCTCAAGGCACAGTCAGAAACCACAGCAGAAAATGGGAAGTGTTCCTTTGTTTTTCCTAGGCTTTTTTCTCGTTTTATTTTTAAAAGAAAATATGTGACAAAGTGGTGAGAATGCTGGCAGCACCAGCGACCCCCGGTCTCCACCCTCCTGGGCGCCCCTTGGACGTCCTCTGCAGCCTAAATCTGAACAACAGTGAAACTATAAACATGCCCCCACCAGCACCCATGGCTCTGCCCCGACCCTGCTGCCGAGGCTCAGCCGGCTCCTCCCGTGCCCTGTGAAGTGCCTTGGGTGGGAGCCCATCCGTCATGCTCAGTGGGTGTTCCTCTGTTCTCTCTGCAGGCAAGCCTGGGACCTGGCTGTCGACATCTGTCTGTCTCAGCTGCCTACTATCATCGAGGAGGGCACTGCGTTCAGGGTGAGTCCCTCCCAGGGCATCCTGCGCATCTGTGGTGGTGGCCTTCTGTGGGCACCCGGACTGCACAGCCCCCAGACTGGGAGTGGTCCCAGGACTCTCGGGCATCAGATATTTTGTTCACCTGCCTGGAAAAAATGTAGTTGCCAGAATTTAAAATGTCAAGTCAACCAGGGGTTAAAGGTAGACTTTGAAAGAATCACCATTTAAAACGGTCTTGTCTCAAAATGTTGCTATTACCTATCTGCTTTTCTGAGCGCAGGTTCGCTCCCTGTGAGTGGTGATCCCGTTACATTTTCTAGCCTTTCACCACGAATGCATTGTGAATGTCCCCGAGTCCTCTGACTCTCAGCCCCGTGGGACAGTGACCCGAGGAGGGTTTGGTGCTGAGCCCTGGGAGGGGCATCCAGCCCCTGGCTGCACTGCACGGGTGCCGGAGAGCTGAGCTCCCCTAGGCTGGAATCTTGCTTTCCTCCCAGGAGCTGCAAGCGAGGGTGACCCTGGGCTTTGCAGCAGCTCCCCAGGACCCCCTTGTGGTTTCTTCATGAGCTTTTGCCTTATGTGAGGCATCGAGTCTGAAAACAGGTGAGTAAGACGGAGGCCCTGCCCTCGAGGAACCAGTGAGGAAAGGAGCTTCTCACATCCCCGAAGAATACAAGGGAGGGATGGGCAGAGGGCGAGGCAGTCACGGGAGGCCAGGGACGGAGGAGGCAGAGGCCTGGGCTGAGGCAAGAGGGGACGGGCATCCCCACCTCCCACTGCTGCCACGCCTGAGACAACACCGTGTTGGGCCTCAGAGCCACAGGGCCTAACTGTGCCACCGAGGGCCGGTTTGGTGGCCTCCTGCGTCTCAGTCTCCTCACTTAAGGGGGGATTATGGTGGTATCCAACCCCACGGGCGCTGGGAGGACAAAGTGAGTTAATGCAGGAAAGCGCTTTGGACCGAGCCCAGCAGAGGGCCCTTGTGAACTCAGGTATAGGCTGCTGCCCCGAAGACGCCTTCACTGATGCGAGGGCGTCACCCTCCAGCCCCCGGGCAGAGGTGCCGATAGTCAGGAAGGGCTCCATCCACTGCACAGACTGTGATTTGTAGTGCACATCACGGTCATCAGGGAAGCTTTCACCGGCACAGGCAGGGGCCTGGGTGTGCGTGATGGACGTGTGTAGGATCTTTTAACTCTTCAGATGATTTGAACATGCCCCCAAGGTTGGGATGACGGGGAAAACAGCCTTTTAAGAGGACGTCCTTCTCCTTTATAACCATCTGTTACCCTCCCCTTATTGGTCAATTTTTTGGGTAACATTTGATTGTGAAAATTTTCAAACCTAGAGCACAATTGAAAGAAATTGACAGTGAGCGCCCTGCACCCACCACTTATTCCTCCTCCGTCTTTGTATTCCTGCTTTCTCAAGGGCGTTGCAGACTGCCCTGCGTTTAAACCGCGAGGCCGAATGCAGCTCCCCCATGTGCTTGGCATCAACATTGGGCTTCTAGACAAAGGCCTTCCGTCCCTCCCTGCTGGGCCACAAACCTTGGGGGAAGGACAGGGTCTCCTGCAGAGCGGCCCGGATGCCTGCGCTCTTCTGAAGCGCTGGGCCTGTTGCCACAAACAGATATTTGGAAACTTCATGAAACTGGCCTTTTCGTACTGAGGGAGGCTTCACTGGGTACTTGTAAGAGATCAGAACAATCTGCTTTTATATAAAATAATGCATTTTCCATTTGCATGTGTGCTCCTTCTAAATGAATACTTCTGTTTCTGTGCCAGGAATCTTTGCCAAGTATCTTTTCAAGGATTTTACTCTATCGTTTCTAACCTACTAGAATCAATATTCTGCATTTGGGAATGATTTCACCATGTTGGGGTGTCAGGACAAGGTGGGGGTAACTGACGCAGACCACACACTAGGTTCTTTCTGTTTTTATCTTATTCGAGGTATCACGTACGTATAGAAAAGTGTACACGTCATACTTGTACAGCCTGGTGAATGTTTCAAGCGGAACACACTCGCGTAACCACACCCAAGCCAAGCAGCGCCCACGAGCCCCCTCCGCGCCCCTCCCACCTCCTCCTTCCCCCCCCCCACCCCCGCTGTGGCCGCTCTCCTGCCCCGTGTTGTGCTTGGGTCCATGGAGTCACTCGCGCAGGATGTAGTCTCTGTGTCTGTCTGCTGTCACTCAGCGTTGCTTGAGTGAGCTCACTCTTACTGCAGGGTGGACACCGTCTTCTGAGTGTGCCAACTCTCATGTGTCCCTTCCAGGCCACCGGGTGTTTTCAGTTTCTAGTTTTCAGGCCTCCCTGGCAGTGCTGGCTAGGGCCAGACTGTCGCAGTGGAGCCTGGGACAAAAGGCAATTCTGTGATACTGGTCCTCCCTTTGAAATGTCGGTATCTTGTTTGTTATGGATTTTTGCATTGATTTTTATCCTTGGAAACATTGCTCTGAAATATTATTTGTGTTTATTACTGATTTTTTTGGCCTCCCCTTCCTGGCCATCCTCCCATTCAGGGTCTGGGCTCTCCTACGCATTTCTAGGAGTGATGCCTCGGGGTCCCGGGTTTGCCCATACTCAGCTTTAACAGATAGTGCCAGAGATTCTGCAAAGTGCCTGAGGCAATTTACATTCCTGCCTGCAGCACCTGAGAATTTTTGTTGCTGTTTATTTATTTGGCTATTATGGTTCAGTGTGAAAAGGTATTTCCTTGAGAGCTAATCGTATATTTCCCTGATGGTTAATAGAGCAGGCTTTCGTGTTTTTATTGGCCCTTTGACTGCCTTCTTTTGTAAATTGCTGAAGGCTTTTGACCGTTTTTCTTTTGTGCTGTCTATTACCGACCTGTTGTGGTTCTGTGTCTACTCCAAAGACAGATCGTTTGTTTGTCCCATTATCACAAATAACTTTTTTTGCTCTGTGGACTTTCATTTTTAAATGTTTTTTTCTTGATGAACAGAAATTCCTTATTTTAACAAAATCGAATTAGTCAAATCTTTGTCCCTATGGTGCCAGCTTTTGGTGTCCTGTTTGATGAAACCCTTGTTTCCTCTGAGATGAGCATTCTGAGCAGACGTTCTGCTAGCAGCTGTGTGTTTCCCTTCACATCTGGACATGCATCTGCTACCAGTTCACGTCCCCCATGAATGCTCAGCTTATTGGTAGTGTTTGCACCGAGGACCGTGTAGACATGGCTGTCCCCGTTTCCTCCTTTGCACCGAGGACCGTGTAGCCGTGGCTGACCCCGTTTCCTCCTTTGCACCGAGGACAGTGTAGACATAGCCGTCCCCGTTTCCTCCTTTGCACCGAGGACCGTGTAGACATGGCCATCCCCGTTTCTTCCTTTGCACCGAGGACTGTGTAGATGCGGCCATCCTGTTACCTCGTTTGCACCGAGGACTCTGTGTACGTGGCTGCCTCTGTTCTTTTGCTTGTCCCTTTGATCACTTGGTCCTTGCACCAGGACCATAATGACAAGCTCTATATGACACTTTCTCAACCGGTGGACTAGTCCTGCAACTTCACCCTTTTCCCGAGGTTGCCTTGGTCACTTTCGGTCCTTTGTATTTCCATGTGAATTTGACATTCAGTGTGTTAATTTCTGCAACGAACCTACTGGATGCCATTGAGATTACAGTTAATATACAGAATGATTTGGGAGAAGTCGCCATCTCTACAGTATTGAGCCTTCTCCCTCAAAATGCTTGTAAGTGCTATCATTTAAAATTGCATTTTCGGATTTCTCTCTATTACCAGTGACATAGAACCCTATCAAAATTGGGATTTTTGGGGACTGAGGCAGGAGAATTTCTTGAACCCAGGAGGCAGAGGTTCACTACACGGCAGCCTCTGCAACAAAATGAGACTCTGTCTCAAAAAAAAAAAAAAAAAAAAAAAAAAAAAAACTGGGTTTATTGGGGTAAAAAGAGAAGCCAGAAGGATTCCCCTGTGGTGGGAGGCTTGGGACCATTGACTTTCTTGGGGATATTAAAAAGAACCCTTCTGCTAAATTAGCAGCCGTACAGACGAGTAGAATGGGCGAGGGTCAGAATGTTCATACAGGCCATATAGAGGGGAGAATGTCCATATAGAGTCATACAAAGCGGAGAGCGTCCACACAGACCCGTACAGAGGGGAGAGCGTCCACACAGACCCGTACAGAGGGGAGAGCGTCCACACAGACTCATACAGAGGGGAGAGCGTCCACACAGACCGTACGAGTGGGGAGAGCGTCCACATAGACCCGTACAGAGGGGAGAGCGTCCACACAGACTCAAACAGAGGGGAGAGCGTCCACACAGACCCGTACGGAGGGGAGAGCGTCCACACAGACTCAAACAGAGCGGAGAGCGTCCACACAGACCCGTACAGAGGGGAGAGCGTCCACACAGACCCGTACAGAGGGGAGAGCGTCCACATAGACCCGTACAGAGGGGAGAGCGTCCACACAGACCAAACAGAGGGGAGAGCGTCCCACACAGACCCAGTACGAGGGGAGAGCGTCCACACAGACTCACACAGAGGGGAGAGCGTCCACACAGACTCCACAGAGGAGGGGGAGAGCGTCCACACAGACTCACACAGAGGGGAGAGCGTCCACACAGACCCGTACAGAGGGGAGAGCGTCCACACAGACCCGTACAGAGGGGTAGAGCGTCCACACAGACTCACACAGAGGGTGAGAGCGTCCACACAGACCCTTACAGAGGGGAAGGAGCGTCCACACAGACTCACACAGAGGGGAGAGCGTCCACACAGACTCCCACAGAGGGGAGAGCGTCCACACAGACCCGACAGAGGGAGAGAGCGTCCACACAGACCTCACACAGAGGGGAGAGCGTCCACACAGACTCACACAGAGGGGAGAGCGTCCACACAGACCCGTACAGAGGGGAGAGCGTCCACACAGACTCACACAGAGGGAGAGCGTCCCACAGACTCACACAGAGGGGGAGAGCGGTCCACACAGACTCACACAGAGGGGAGAGCGCCACACAGACTCACACAGAG